GCTGTCTTTTCTCCAGTGTGCATTTTTGGCTCCTTTGTCAAAAATCAGATGACTGTAAATGTGTGGATTTAAATCTAGGTCCTCAATTCTATTTCACTGATTAATTTGTCTGTTTTTACCTTAATACCATGCTGTTTTTATTACTGTAGCTCTGCAGTGTAATTTGAGATCAGAAATGGTATAGCCACCAGCAGTTCTTTTATTGTTCAAGATAATTTTGGCCTTCCTGGATTTTTTGTGTTTCCATATGAAATTTGAGATTATTCTTCAATTTCTGTGAAGAACTGTGTTGGAATTTTGATGAATATTTTTTGGTTGATGGGTATTTGATAGGTATTGAATTTGCAGATTCCTTCTGGTAAAATGACCATTTTCTTGCATGATATTAATCCTACTGATCCATGATTATGAGAGGTCTTTCCACCTTCTGGTATCTTCTTCAATTTCTTTCTAATATGTGTTAAAGTTTTTATTGTACAACTCCTTCATTTGTTCTGTTAGATTTATTCCAAGATGTTTTATGGATTTGAGGCTATCACAAATGAGATCATTTTCTGGATTTCTTTCTTGCTATGTTTGTTGTTAGTATATAGGAAGGCTACTGATTTGGGGGTGTTAATCTTATATCCTGCTACTTTGCTAAATGTATTTATCGACTATAGGAATTTACTGGTAGTCTTTAGAATCCTTTATGTATAGAATAATATCATCCACAAAGAAAGATACTTTGACTTCTTCCTTTTCAATTTGTAGCCCCTTATCTCCTTCATTTGTCTTACTGCTCTAGCTAAGACTTGAGTACTAATTTGAACAGGAATGGAAAGAACAGGCATTCTTGTCTTGTTCCTGATTTTAATGAGAATGTTTTCAGCTTTTCTCCATTTAGTATAATGTTGGTTGTAAGATTGTTGAATAGTGCCTTTATTATGTTGAAAATTTTCTCCTGTGTACCTAGTTTCTTTATTACTTTTATCATGACAAATGTTGGATTTTGTCAAAGCCTTTTTCTGCATCTAGTGAGATAATCAAGTAGTTGGAGTATACTTACTTCATGGATTACATTTGTTGATTTACCTGTTGAACTGTCCTTGCATCTCTGGGATGTAGCTAACTTGACTATGGTGGATAATCTTTTTGATGTGCTCTTGCATTTGGTTTACAAGTATTTTATTGACAATTTTTGCATCTATGTTCATCAGAGAAATTGATCTATAATTTTCTCTTTTGTTGGATTTTTGTCTGGTTTTGCTATTAGAGTAATACTAGCTCCATAGAAAGAATTTCATAGTGTCCTGTCATTTTCTAATGGAACAATTTAAGGAATATCGGTATTGGTTCTTCTTTGAATGTTTGTTAGAATTCTACACTGTATCCATCTGATCCTGGGCTCTTTTTAGTTGGGAGATTATTGCATCTGTTTCACTGGCTGTTATATAAATCAATTATGTCATTTAACTTCAGTAGGCCTTACATACCAAGAAATTTAATCCATTTCTTTTAGTATTTCTAGTTTAGTGGAATATAAAATTTTAAAGTATGTCCTTATGGTTTTTTGAATTTTATTTAGGTCTGTTGTAATCTTTCTCTTTTCCTCTATCCCTATATTGGGATCAATATGAGATTTTAGAGCTAATCAAGTTTCTTCTATAAAATTGAATGCTTGCATGTGAGGTGCATATATCTTTAGGATAGAAGAATTATTTTTGGTGGATCTTTCCTTTAATGAGTATGAAATGATCCTTCCTGTCTCTTCTGACTAGTTTTAGTTTGAAATAGATTTTGATGGATATTAGAATAGCTATAGCTGCTTAACTGCATTTGCTTAGAATAGCTTTCTTCATCCTTGTACCCTAAGATGGTATCAATCATTGTTTGTGAGGTGTGCTTCTTGGGGGCAGCAAATTGATGGATCCTATTTTCTAATCCAATAAATTTTTCTGTGTCTTTTTACTGAGAAGTCGAGACCATTAGTATTGAGGGTTATAGTAATGTTTATTAATTGCTGTTATGCTGGTGTTGAAGTGCTGTTTTCTTACACCTTCTTTTGGTTGAATGCTCTGGGATAATTTATTTTTTTTGTGTGTGTACCCTCTTTGTTTTTATCATGGAAAACTTTTCTTTCTTCTTCAATGAAAGCTCATAGTTTTGCTGGATATAGTAGTTTGGGCTGGAATCTGTTCTTTCCTAATGTGTATGACACTGATCCATGTCCTTCTGGGTTTCATAGTCTCCACTGAAAAGTCGTTGGAGTCACTGCTATTCTGATGAGCTTCCCTTTTTATGTGACTTCATCTTTTTCTCACCACTTTCAGTATCTTTTCTTTATTCTGTATGTTTAGTGTTTTTGGTATTATATGACATGGGGAGTTTCTTTTCTGGTCCTCTCTACTTGGTGTTCTCTATGCTTCTTGTACCTTGATAGTATCATTTTCCCTTGGTTTAGGAACTTTTCTTCTGTGATTTTATTAACAGCAAAATGTTCTGTGCCTGGGTTTCTTCTCCTTCTTCTATGCCTATAATTTATAGGTTTGATATTTTTTTCAGTGTCCCAGAGATCTTGCATATTCTGGTCCTGGATTATTGTAGATTTGACATTTTCTTTGATTGAGCAATCTATTTCCCCAATCTTTTATCTTCAAGATCTGAAGTTCTGTGTTCCATTTCCTCCATTTACTTGTTGCTTCTTTCCCCTAAAATTTTTGTTTGACTTCCTGAGTTTTTTATTTCAAGTTTTGTTTCAGATTTACTTTTTTTCAGATTCTCTTTATTGAATTCTAATTTCATGTTTTGAATTTTTTTAGTTATTTCATTCGACTCTGCATTTTCATGGCCTTCATTCAGTGTTTTAATCACATCCTTTTTGAGTTCCTTGAACACATTTATAATTGCTATTTGAAATCATTGTATTGTATATTCACTAGGTTTTCATTCTCAAGAAACATTATGATGGGTTTGCTAATTTCTGTAGTAGCGATATTACCTTGTTTATTCATTCTGCTTGTATTTTTCCGATGAGACTTAGGCATCTGGACTTGTGTGTGGTGTTTCTTGGTATGGGTAAGTGATCACTGCCTTGTTGAATGCTTGTTTGTATATTGTTTGCTATTTCCCCAAATTGTTAGGTTTTGGCCTGAGTGGTGCTTGGTGTTCAGTTTGGGGGCCACTTTATGTTGATGTGCAAATGGAGTGAAAGAAGTGGTGTCAGTTCAGCTCAGCTCAGTTCAGAGAGGTGTAACTTTTAGGTTGAGATTCCAAGATTGACTCCACAGAGTCCTGGATCAGCAGGGTGGGGATGGGGGCTTCTAGGTGAACATGTTGGCTGAAAGGTTAGGGTGAGAGCTTGCAGGTCTGGGGAACCCAGGGCTCAGATGCTGGAATGCAGGGATGCCTCAGGGACTGAGCTCAGGACTACAAATCTGGGGTGGGGAAAGGTCCCAGAGATCCAGGCTGGGATGAGAGTTGAGATGGCTGAGTGACTCACCATACCAAGACTGGAGGAGTGTGCAGATCTGAGAGGGGGTAGGATCTCTGTGACCTGAGGAAGTCTGAGAGCTATGATGTTGGGTCATGGGGGTCTCAGGGATGGATCTCAGGACCACAAGTCTGGGTTGGGGAAGGATCCCAGAGGCCCAGGCTCCATGATTCATTTTAAACAATTGCTTGTTACATCTGGCTTGGGTCTGGTGGCGATCAATGTCATAAGAGTGCTGTGTCCATGTTGTGATACATCAGAGTCAGAGGTCCTGTCTGAGACATGGAAACCAGACCTACTGCTTCTGCAATATTGACCTATCAATAGTTTAGCTCCTTCCTTATCTCATTTGTATTCTTTCTTGTACATGTCATATTTGTTTAGGGATTTGTTAATGCTGCCTCTGACTTTTAGCCATTGGTGTACATATACTAAAAGCATCATTTAATTTTAGCTACATTTACTTTGGCAAATTGTTAACATTAGTTACTCAAATAAAATTCAAATTTAGCAAACTAAATTTTCCAGGATTTTATTTTAATATGTTTATTGATAATAACTAGTGTATGTGCTAATTGGGCCTAGTGATGGATAAAACAAATGTTCAGTCTTTCCTTATTCATTAATAAGTAAGTATAATAGTGAATCAAATGTCCTTAGAATTTGGCTATTATTTATGGTATCTTTGTGAAAATTAGAACAAGTACCTTTGGATAAAGTAGATATGAAAAATGGGCAGAAAGAGGGGCCTTCCTCCACAGAGGTTTGAGTTCCTTGAGCTGGTTCAGTGGGAGCTGATGTCAGCCCCAGGAATGCCTTGGCTACTGTGCACCCACATCCTGCAGAACTATCATGATAGTCTTGAGCCTGGGACACAGGGCAGAAGACAGCATACTGTAATTCCTATTTCTCCTATCCTTTCCCAAATTAAATTCCTAGGGAACTTTATTGTCTAGTTGTTTGATTCAATGGGAATTAATTAATTTGGAAAGTAAAGATACATGGTAAGGGCAGGCTGTTAGAGAATTCCTATTTGAATTTTTGATAAAGTGAAATAGCTTCTCTTGGTGGTAGTTCAATACAGCTTTCTTTTTCTAGCATGAAATGTTACTCAGTATACCACAGGCTCATTAATTATAAAAATACTCATTATCTGGACAGAAAGTTGAAGAATCACTTAGAAAGATTTGTTTGATTTTGAAATAATTTGTTATCAAACTTTATTTTCAAATGAATGAGTCAGTGACCTTTGGAGAGTAATATATGCACATGTACATATACACATATGCACATACTATCTACACAAACACATTTATATTATATAGAAAAAAACTTGTCCCATGTCTTATTTTTTATTGTTTGTTAATAATAGTTTTATTAAAGTAGCCATAATAATTTCTACAGTTCTACAGTGATAGAAGCTGCCACTTACTTTAAAAAGGATCATATGCCTTCCCCCCATATTTATTAAAATGGGAAAAGAAGAATAGTAAGACTTAAAGCCCTTTCTTTTCTCTTTTTATTCCAGGCGATGTGTTCCACATTACTACTCCCAATAAGTTCACCTTTGAGGAGGCTGAAGAAGAGTGTGAAAACCAGGAGGCCAGGCTGGCAACTGTGGGGGAGCTTCACGCAGCTTGGAGGAATGGCTTTGACCAATGTGATTATGGGTGGCTGTCGGATGCCAGCGTGCGCCACCCTGTGACTGTGGTCAGAGCCCAGTGTGGAGGTGGTCTACTTGGGGTGAGAACCCTGTATCGTTTTGAGAACCAGACAGGCTTCCCTTCCCCTGATAGCAGATTTGATGCCTACTGCTTTAAACGTAAGTGTTTGATACCTTTTTAAAAATACAGATTTAAAAAATTCTGCAAAGGCATGTACTGATGTTCAGTAGACGTGGAGATGGATTCCATACCTTACATTACGTGCATGGAACAGAAATGCTTCAGTGACTTTAAGAAACACTCAACCTGAATACCAACAATATGGTCAAAACAGCAGGAAGTGTGACAGCATGCTTTGGAAGGGACAGGAAATGTCAGGTTAAGGTCTTTACTGTACAGTGCTATACCTAGAATCACAGAATATATCCAGAATTGTCATATCAAACTAAACCTTTAGTGCAATTTAACTGTTGATACTATAATACTAAAGCCAACAGAAGCTAAATTAGGTCCTTGAGTTCTGCTTATCTTGTCTTTGTTTCATATTACTCTTTTTTTTTTTTTTGAAAAGTAAAGCATTTAAATTTATCATTGCAGGTAAGTATTTGGAACCGACATGAATAATCCTTATGTTCAAACCCTACCTAAAAGTGAAACATACTATGAAACCATCCATATAGTCTCTATTCCTCATTTTGTTTCAAGGTATAGAGCATGTTCCTTTTAGCGATTAATTCTGTTTTTAATTAATTGAAGTACAATATATCCTCTTTGCAACTTGTAATGTTAATGGGCTATTATCAGTTAAGTTTACTATGTAAAATTAATTTTAAGTAACATTCGTAATAGACATACTTGAACTTTTCAGGTATACTTAAATTATTTTTAAAAAAAATCAGTCACATTATATAGTATCATAATTGTGGAGTACTTAAGTAAAAAATCAAAAGATTTATGGTAATATTTACTATAAGGTCTATATTGTGCTAGATAAATAACAAATAACAAATGTCTTAGTGACCTATGGTTAGTCTGACATTGATTGATATTATGTTGGAATATCATAGAGTTTTGAACTAAATTTCTGATACCTCTTGTTAGAGCAATAAGTAACTAAAATGAGTATAAAATATAGTACTTCATTATTGATTGATTTATAAAGAGAAATAGGAGGAAAAGGCACAGAGTTGTGATACCCAGTGTACTGAAAAGCCAGTGGATCCAGGAGCTAATAGAACCACAGAAAAGCTTACTTTTCTCAGGCTTTCTGTCTCCCAGCTAGGTTGCCTCTGCCTATGTCCCTTCTTCAGACCGGACTTTCTGAGTGCTAAAGCCCTCCAGATGTTATGTATAGCTTATTTCAAGCTGCTTATTTCAAGCTGCCTGATCCATAAAAGGCTTAGCAAATGCTAACTTTTGATTTCAGGCCTTGAAACAACAAACAGTTCCCTAATCATTTTTCAGAATGACAACAATAATTAAAAAAAATCTTATTCTAAAAGCAGTCAAACATACATTCATTTATGCCAAATTCTCATATCATTGATATTCAAGTAAATTAGGTTCTAAAATGAGTTTTTCATTAAGTTACAGATGTGATGAAGGAACAGGTGCAGGTGATGTTTGGGGGTGTGTGAGAGTGGAGTGGCTAGCCTTAGTACCTGACTTCATTAATTCTTCCTGTGCTGTGTAGAACTACAACAGAAAACATAAATGACATATTTTTCTTCTTGGGTATAAAATGGACACCAAAACCTTTCTATAGTCACAAAATATATTATTAAAGAATTGATTCTAATGTATTTAAAATTATTTAATCAATTCACATGGACATATTTAATAACAAGGTGCTTATATTTAAATGGATTGATCAACTAAAAATCTACATAAAATACAAAAAGGTTTGCATTTATTTTTCTATTAATTTCAGTGTATATAATTTTGAAATAAAATAGACACACATTTCTTTTTTCTCCATGTAAACTACAGTCTAGATTCTTGTTATTTCTCCCCTCCTTCCTCATATTTCCAATTCATTTGGTGCATAAGAGGCTAAGACTGTTTTTAGCATAGGAACTTTCCTTACACTACACACAGTGTAACAGCCTTCTTAAGTTTTTGGCATTTTACAGTGGTTCTTTTAATACATATATATCTATAAGTATACTCTTAAAGAATTGGAAAAGTAATCTCAATGATTTGTTTAATGTACTGCTTTCTTATGTAGCTCAGTGGTGGCTAAATTTTGTAGGCTACAGCTCCTAAGTACCATGGCCTCATCTTAGCCTCAAAAGAGATTTCAGTGATGTTTGGCTGTCTTGTTAAGTTGAGGAATTAGGAGATTGATGCATGTTCTCATTTGGTTTTGTGAAACAGAGAATGTGGTTTTGGAGCCATTTACTGAATGAACATTCCAAATCTTATTTTGTTCTAATCCCCTTTTCCTTATAAAGTCATACAATACGATATTTACAATATCTGATAATATGCACAGTTAGAATTTATCTGATCTAATAGATTTGAAAAAAAGGTGACATTTAGTCTTTCTGAAATAATCTTCTTGATCATTTTCCCATGATGAAAACTGTCCAGTTCTCAATTTTTTTCAACCTCAGAATTAAGCACGCACTGTGAAAGAAAGCAATACAAGGCTTTGAAAGCCTTTTGAAATATCCTCAAATTTAACTGGCTCCAAATAATTGAATACTTTTGATCATTTCACAATACATGTCATGATCAATCCCTAGGAAGGAAGAAAGGACATGTTTCTTAGAAAACTCATTCTAATTTTTATAGACCTCACTCTCATATGGTGTTTTTAAAAATAATCTCAGGGCTGGAAAGTTAGAATTTGAACTCATTCTTTTTTAAGTTGCAGATTAAGGTCTAAATAACAGTGTTTCTATCAAACACAATTATTTTGTCATCCCTCAACATCTTCTCTGACTGGAACAGTTTCACTGACTATAAATTGTTCTCTCTAATCTTCCAGTCACCACTTGAAGCTTCATTGTTTTCCTCAACCTTCTCTGATTAAGTTTGAAACTAATGTCTAGAGCAGACTGAGTTCTCACCACTTGTTAGGATTTCTTGTGTGTCTGTTCATGTTTAAGACTGGACAGCCCTCTAATCTATGATCATTGCATCATCTCTTTCTGTGTCCTAAATGATAATCTACTCTTAGATGCCAAATGTAATCTTTCCCTTCTTTGTATTTGAGAATGCTTCCTGTTTATTGAATTTGACTCAATTAGCATTCACTCACTCATCTAACTTTTAAGTGGAAGTTCCAACTCTAATCTCAGTGTTCCAACCTTAACACTTTCTTCAACTGTAAACCTATATAATCAGTCTGTTGCATACCCACTCCACGTTGCCCTTCTTCCCAGGTGTGCACTTATTTATGTTTCATGTACAATAGAGGAGAACCAATTCAAAGTCAATCATTTTTCTATAGCATTAATAGTATGGGATAGGATTTAAGTTGGCTATCATGCTGCTAATAGGGGTTTTACAAGCTTTGTTAGGAGAATCTGCCTTATGTCTCATGACAGAAACAGAGAAGATCATCCATATGATGTAAAAATACCATAAGTATAGTGATGTGAAACATCTGTGTGGCAGACAGCTGCAAAGGTTGGAAGGGAACATTTGTGGGAAAAGAAGCATGCTGACATTTTTGGCTTCCTCAATAATGACGTTGAAGGAACACTGGTAGTTTTCCAAAACCAAAATGTCTCCATGTGAATGAACCTTCGGGAAGAGCACTTTTAGAACAACCTAGAATTGTATTTTCCTCTTTATTTATAATAGTCATTAGTAATAAAATGATATTTATTTTTATGATACCTCTTTGTAGATATTAGTTCTCTTAAAAAATCAATTCCTTTTTCAGAATGGCTGAAACAAATGACACGTATTATCAGATACTGAGCTATGATGGAAATCAGCTGTTAGGTTGACAAAAAAACCACCCAATCCCAAAAGGAAGTCTGAGGTTTTCCATTCCAAGTCATAGAATTAATTAGCTTAATTGTAAACAGACTTTCTTAAATTATGCTCTAAAATTATTATCTACCCCGCCTTTTCCCCTGAAAACAAAGTCGCATAAATCTTGGTTTAGTGATAGACTCCGAGACTTTCCACTCTCACTTTACCATGCAGCAAGGCTCAGGCAGAGCAGCAGCAAGCTGCAAAGTAATAATTGAGAATGACATATGTTTATTTAATTTCAAAATTTGAGTCCGTTTTTAAAGCACTATAAAAATATTTTCATAGAATCAGATAGTTTCTGGCTGAGAACTTGGGGTGAAATAGGAGGACTTGATTCTTAGGCCTTCATTTAGCTTCAATGCAGCATCACCTTCTTTTAAGTTAATTTCATCAACCATGAAAATCCTCGGAGGGGAAAAGTAAAATTACCTTTTTCTGTTGTTATTAATAATAATATGATTAAATTTTCTCCACTCTGCAGTTTTCTTGAGTTTATATTATGTTTCCATGGGAACTTTCTCTGTACATATATTTTGCCATTTCCCTGAAGAATGCAGTTGTAAAGCAGACATGAAATTTGGCACTTAAATGAGGTAATGGTTATGGAATTTCAGAGGATACAGAATTGAATTAAAAGAAAAATAGTCCAACACTTTTTAGGTCTTTAAGTTGTTCACGTCAATCAAAATCAACCAATGTTTCTTTCAGGAAATGAGTGCAGAATAAGCTTTTTTTGAACAAAAGCAGAAAAAAGTCTACTTAATATGCTTTTCAAGACTCCAGTTCTCTTTTTGGTTAGGTTTTGTTTAAAATAAAAGGATAAGTAGTGACAGACTTTAAAGAACTTGTGTAATACTATAAATGGTCACCAAGTTTTCATTAGAAAATGATGAATTTGAACTTCAAAATGGTTTGGTGAATATTGACAGCACATGCCAGACCAAAATACAAACAAAAACAAAACTCCCCAAACCAAACCAATAGCAAAAAGAACGCATTACTGCCCTATTCTGATTCATGGTAAAATCACGTTGTTCTGTCATGAAGTTTTGACAGAGTAAATAGAACCAGAGGGACCCAACTTTGTTTTTCAAGGGTTCTTCTGCGGATTATTAAAAAGAAGATACAAAATATTTCCAGGTTCTCCAAATATTGCAACTTCTGTCAGAGAAAACAGGTATTGCTCATACATCTATTTTTATGCCATGCACCATGTAGTAAAACAATGGCTAGGTATTTCCTCAGAACCATTTTTTCTGTGTTTGCTGGCAAATAACTTTTTTATCTTAGAAAATACTGACACACAAAAAAATACAGTCTTTTTAGGCTAGACTGTTGTAATTCCCCTGTATTGAGAAAGATTTTTGTTTATAACACTTTTATATACAACTTCAATTTCCTTAAGGCAGCCATTTTCCATAAATCTGGAGTCCTTATAACATTTTATAATGACAGCCTGCTTTATATAGACTGAGCTCACTCTCTGGTGATCAGGGTTGTCCAAGAGTTTTGTAATTATAGATTGAAAACCTAACATGTGGCTACTTTGCTTCTTGTGCATTTGTGTTTCCTGCTAAAGTATGACTGGAACTAAGACCTGGAAGAGGTACAAACATAGTGTGTAGATCGTTCAGCAAATGGTAGAACTACAACAAACGCCAGCCAGCCTCTGCCAGATATACTGTATCATCTGGTAGCAACAGAGTTGAAAGAAAGATGAAGACAAATGTCCAACACCTGGAATCAAATAAAGAGCGGCATTTAAAAGCTTAATAACCTGTTTTTATGAAAGCCTACACATTATGGGCCATGTCATGGTTTATATGTAACTTGGTTCTATTTGATGTGGCTTTTTTTGTTGTTTTGCAGTCTGAAATACTCCCTCTCCCCTGAGACACCGCAGCTTGAAAAGGAGACAATATGTGGATAAAGCTAGCAGCAGGGTCCAGTGAGCTCAGAGAAACAAACCAGCTTCTCCTTCCAGGCCTCATGTTGCTCCTGTAGTTGATTATAAATATTACATTCAAACTCTGTGTTAATATTTTAGGCTCCTTCTATTCTTAAAACTGCACAGTATTTTCCATAAGTAGGAACAGTCATTTATACAATCAAGTATAACCCTTACAAAAATAAAACTACTTACCAGATCATGGCTAATATGTGATCAATTATCCTCATTTAAGTTAATGTAAGTATAGATTTTAGACTCCTTTGTACCACAGATCACTTGAAAATACACAGCAACACATAAACACTGGTCATACAAAGTTTTATTAGTGACTTGTCTAATTAACTGTTTGAAATTATTTTTCTAGCTAAACAGAATATATCAGAGGCAACCACCATCAACATGAATATCCTCGCAGAAACTTCATCACCCAGTTTATTCAAAGAACCACACATGGTACCTGACAGATCTACACCAATTATTTCATTAGTCACCGAATTACCTATCATTACCACACACTTCCCTCCTGCAGGAAATATAGTCAATTTTGAACATAAATTGACAGTCCAGTCTCAGGCTATTGCAGACAGATTAGCCACCGAATCACCCACTCATCCTGGGAGTACTGAGAAGCCTTGGGGTATGGAAGACTACTCACATTCTGCTTCAGGACCACTTGGAATGCCCAACATATCTGAAATTACAGAGGAAGTACCCCAAAGTACAACTGTCATTTACCAACATGCTCTTGATTCATGGGATGGTGTCACTGAGGATAAGCAAGTACATGAATCAGTTACACACATTGAACAAATAGAAGTGGGTCCCTTAGTAACGTCTATGGAAAGCTCAAAGTACATTCCTCCCAAGGAATTGCCTGTAACCCAAACACCATCTGAATCTACAGAAATGACTCTGGAACCCAAAACTGACATGAAATCAGGAAGCACTATTCCTAAACCGGTGACCACAAGTCACTATGGATTCACCTTGAGAGAAGATGCTAGTGAAGACAGAACACTTACAGTTAGATCTGGTCAGAGCACCTTGGTCTTCAGCCAAATACCTGAAATCATAACAGTATCAAAGACTTCAGAAGATACAACCCACTCTCAGCTCAGGGACTTGGAGTCAACTTCAACATCAACAATTACTTCACCTACAACTATTTTTGACAAGAATGGATCACCCATAGATAAAGAGGAAGAGAAACAAGCTAATGGTAAGATAACTGAAGATTTTCTTAGTCCATCTCTGCCTACAACACCTTTTCCATCACAGCATCTCACAGAAGTAGAATCGTTTTCTTATTCTGGTGATAAAATATTAGTAGAGGGCATGTCCACAGTTATTTATCCTTCAGTACAAACAGAAACGACACAAGGTAAAGAAAGAACAGAAACACCAAGACCAGAGTTGAAAATGGATACTTACACAGATGAGATGCAAGAAAAGATCATCACCAAAGATTCATTTATAGGTACAACAGAAGAAGACTTTTCTGGAATGAAGTTCTCTACATCTTCCTCAGAGCAAATTCATCTTACAGAGTCTTCTGTGGAAATGACCAAGTCTTTTGTTTCCCCAGCATTGCCAACAATAAAGTTAAGTGTGAAACCAACAGAAGCAAGAGATGTAGAGGGAGAAACTACAACAACTCTGGTTACATTAGAAGCTGATGGCTATCAACATGTTACAAAGTATGACCAAGATGCCACAACAGCTCACTTGACCCACAGTGCTTTAGATGTTGAGGTAGTCACAGTATCAAAATGGTCCAGGGAGGAAGATAATGCAACCACAAAGCCTTTAGTCACCTCTGAACATGCAGGCTCTCCAAAATTGCCCCCTCTCTTTCTTAGCACCCTGGAGGCAAATGGAAAGGATAAAGAAATCCCAAGTTTTGCAGAAGATTTCAGACATGGATTCACTCTTTTCCCAGAGAGTACTCAAAAGCCAGTAGAAAAGTTTTCCAAGGAAGATTTAATATCTGGAAAATTTATAGTTAAATTCCAGCCAACTACATCAATTGGTATTGCAGAGAAGTCAACTTTGAGAGATTCTACAACCGAAGGAAGAGTTCCACCTACCACAAGCACAGAAAGCCAAGTTGTTTATGTAACTGTGGAAGGAAGTGCTTTGGGTGAAGAAGATACAGGTGTCTCTAAACCACTGTTTACTATTCCCCCCCCTGCACACACCTCAGATGTGGAGGCACTGTCATTTGTTAATGATAGTAGCTCCCAGGAGCCTACTACACGTGTTGATACCTCCCATACTATTACTCTTTCTGTAATTCCCACGACAGAATGGGGAGTGATAGAGTCTTCTGTTCCATCAGAAGATGAAGTTCTAGGTGTACCTGATCAAGATGACCATGTCACTGAACAGACTCATCTAGAAGCAACTATGTTTCCTGAAGCTTTTCAAACAACAGAAATCACACAGGGAACAACCCAGGATGAATTGTCTTGGAAAGAGCAAACTACAGGGAAATCATTTCCCACTCTCAGTTCTACTGGAGTGGTGACCAAGGTGACAGCAACATTTGATGAAGAGGGAGAAGGATCAGCATATACAGTTTCTGAAGACAAATTAGTGACAAGGTTTGAGAGAGGCCCGGTTTTAGAAACAACTCCAGTTGGAACAATTGAGCATATGTCTTATCCACCTGGTGCTATAACAGAGCACAAAGTGGAAATGGATAAAATGGTAACACTAATACCATCCATCAGGCCGAAAGTAATTTTAAGTCAGGAGCCAGAATTAAAACATGAAGCAGAAGGTAGTAGCCCACCAGATTTTGCATCAACTTTGAGGCCTTTCAGCACACGGTTTATGGATGAAACCACTATTGAAGAAGGAGAGAAACCATCCCTAGATTATACGGATTTAGGCTCAGGATTATTTGAAAAGCCCATAGTTACAGACCTCCCAGAATTTCCAACAAGTAAAACCACAGTTTCAAGTGATATCAGTGCTGTCTTCACTTCTACAGACAGACTCCACAGAACTCCACCATTCAAGCCATCTTCTTTTGTCACTGAGGAAACCTCTGTCTTTGACCCAGAGCCCAGTGAGAAAACCACACATGATACTGTACTGACTACAGAATCAACAACAGAACACCCTCCCACCACCCTCACTGGTACCATAGCTAAGGCAACAGTAACAGATGTTGACAAAGAGTATCACATGCCTACAAAGACTCCTGCTACACAGCCAACAAGACCATCCACTGTGGAAAGCAAAGAGACCTTCAAACCTCAGGCGTTTTCTACTCCACCACCCCCAGCAGGGACAAAATTCCAACCTGACATAAATGTTTATATAATTGAGGTCAGAGAAAATAAGACAGGTAAGTCTTTGCTTTCAAGGCAATCAACATTTTATCTTGAAAGTTACTTTTGAGAAAAAAATAATCAACGTGCCAAATGCTGCCTTTAGAAGATTACTGGAGTGTCAAAAATTATGTTAGCTTCATGTATTTGTACAAGAATTGGAAGAACATGTAAACAGTTTGGAAGATTGTTAGGTTTGATTTGATTTTAAAAGTCATAAAAAGCCCTGCTTTGTCATCTAATATAACCAATCATCACTGTTACATCACTTCAGAACATGCAGAACAAAGTGTTTTAATTTCAGTGTCTTTCCATACATTACTACTCAAGTGTAGCTGTGTTAACATTCCATTGGTCTGTAACTATTAACCTTTAGCACTTACAATATAGATAGGTAAAACGACTTTGCGTAACCTTAGGGCTGACATAAAGACATCTAAAGGTTTGTTTTATTTTTCTCTTCCAGGAGTCTGAAGGCTTTTTACATAAGTTGTGGAATGGGTAATAGGTCTATTTTAATTCAAATCTAGCATTTTTTACATGTTGATTTTTTTTTGGTATCTTTAATGTAACTTTAACTATTTAGAACCAATACAATGTAGTTAAGTTTAGGAATTGCTCTAATTCATTGTTTTATGGAACATAACTTAAGAAGGTGGATTTATAAGCATTATCTTTTCTTCCTAAAATCTAGGTTGTAATGTCTTATTGGGATTTCACTGTGTCATCTTTAGGAATATTTGTAATACCTTCTATTCCATTTTTAGAAGCTATGCATTGACTAATATTTGCAGTTGTCATTACCAAACATGGCTTATTCTTACCTAAGCATGAGACTTCACCATCTCTTCAACTTATCAAGTTAAGTGGAGAATACATAGCACATATTGTCTGATGGATTGATTCGGGTCTGTTAGTTTCTTTTAAATTTAGACGTTAAGTCTACTGATTTCATTAGCTTGTTCTGTTCAAATTTTAATACAATAATGCAATTGATAAACTTTCATTTTTCTGTGGCCTGGCTCTGAGAAGCTGGACTGGAGGGGTGTCTGTTTACTGGTTTCTCACTTGCTATTGGAATAAACCCCAGCTCACAACCGAAAAGACAGGGTGTCATTTTCTGAAGAGTGATGCTGTCTTCTTTAGAGTGATCAGGAGGTGCACACCTTTTGAAAATGATAGCTTTGCTGCCAGTTCACTTGATGTCCAGTGCTGTCAGCAGAAACTTCATGGCTTTTATAGACTCTTCTCCAGAATTTTCTTTGTATAAAAATATTTTCATGGCATGAATAGTAAATAAGATAACATATCCCTGGAATAGTAAAGCTCATCTCCCTTCCCAATACAGTTCTATAAAGGTTAGGAAGGGCATATAACTTTTTTGCTACTGGAAGTTTTTTGTAAATCATAAAATATGTTCTCTTTTCTACTCTCCTTTTGTAACTCTCCAAACTGGAGTTGAAAAGAGAAGTGTTACTAAGAAGCAGGAGTTAAGGTTATTGTTACTAGAATTGAAGGGAACAGGAAGTCATGACCATGGGGAAAAATGGACAAAAGAAGCACATTGCTACTGACATTTAATTTCAAAGTTTTGGAAAGTATTTACCAACTACCTATATTTTCTTGATTTATATTAGGCAATTGTTAGTGACATAGTAAATTCTTATCAAATAATCTAAAATATTTGGTATTTAACAAATTTTCGGAGTGGAACAGGTTAGGGCACTCAAATTATAAAAATGGGGGAAAAAAACCCCTGAATTTGATATCCCCAGAAAAGATGACAGTCATCTGGAGTAAAGTGACAACAATGCTAAGTTTATAAATGGTTACTCAACATGGAGGGTCTAACACTGAATCAGTTTACTTGTATGTTACTTATGGTCTACTTGGAGACATGCATAATTGTTTTCTTCCTCCATTACTAAAACATGGGACTATGGGCTGCCTTCAGAGTAGTTTTGTGTTGACAATAAGTTCTTGGAAAATTGTGAAATATCTGGCCACTTCCATCATGCAGGATTACAGAATGTGAATGTTAGGATGGGGCATGTAACATTGGGGTGATCTATCTGCCTATCTATCTATCATCTATCTAATCATCTATCTATCATCTACCTACCTATCTATCTCAATCATCTCTATTGTCATCCTTTTCTTTATGTGTTTTAGGTATATATTCTCTTTAAGAATAGCAGCATTGTTTATTATCCTCAGAAATCAATGTGGTTTACTCAGATGCAACTACTCAGTTACAATAATTTACTTGTTTTCTAAGAATAATTTTTCTCAGTATTTTGAACTTTAGCATGTTAAAACCCTAAAACAGATGCTCAGTTAATAAGTTTTAAGGCAGGTGTATACGTTAATGAGGGAAAGGGCATATTGCCTGGAAAACCAATCTTTTTATACATCTAGACTGGAAAATCCTTGGTGCATGTGTGCTATTGTATAATCCATTCATCGGAATAAAACTGACCTTTACATAAACTATGTATCCAAGTAAGCAAAATTGCCACCCAGGCCTCACTAAACCAAAGCATTTGTAATTGTTCTGCACACAAAAGTAATATAAAGTTTGACTTTTAAAAAATACTATGAAACAAAACATGCTACTCAAAACAAGCTCAAGTCATGTATGTTCAGATGGTTGTTAATGGCAATTTATGGTTCTGTTGCTAGAGGGCAACTGTAGTTAACAGTTAAAATATCTGAAGGAACTTTTCAGCTCATAAAAGTTTTATGACCTGAAAAATGCTATAGGGTGTGTTTAACAGCAGTTCAGGGGATACTGAAAACTTGACTCTTGTCTATTTCAGGAGTAATTTGAACACCTGCACTTTGGAAAATTATTGAAAGGTTTTCTTTGTGACCATGCATGAAGGCTACAGGGTTTAGTGATAGGGGAAGAGTTTCTTCAATTTTAGATGTTTTTTGTAAAGAACACTCAAGTAAATAATACGAAATATTGTAAGTTAATGTGACAGAACTGGAAATGTTTTTAAAAACAGCCAGTAGCACTATCTTTAAGTCAAAGAATAATTTGGAAATAAGTAGCTTCTAAGTACAAACCTTATGTAAATACACATTGTGAACATCTTAAGATAGGTAGCTTGTTAGTTTCTTTTTATAAACAGGGTCATATTCGCTGCCAAAAGTTAGACCTGCTTGTTAGACATTCTTCATACTGGTTATCTTTCTAAGTGGAAAAATATAAGGCAGGTGTAAAGCTAATATTAAACTAAAATGATATAAATATAAGATATTGATTAAATTGTTAATGTCATAGCATGTACGTTAGGTAGATTTTGAGAAAAACAATTTTTAGCCTCTAAATTAGAATTAATTTGCCTTATACAGAATTGTTACACCTTAATTGTGACATCATTCTGAAATAACTCTATATGATTTCTTTATTCTATTCTTTCAGCATATGAGAAATATACATGAACCTAAATGTTGCGTTTTCCTTTTTTTGAAAACTGTGCCATTATGGAGAGTGTAAAGACTAAGGAGAAGTAGTTCTGAGATGGAGCTATCTGGAAAAATACCAATATTTACATCACTGACTAGACAGTTTATTATTTAAGGTCATAGTTATACAAGAAAATCTTACATAATTTTAAAAAATCACATTTTATTCTTAGAGAATTTTACAATTATATATAAAATTACTTTATGATTCTTTTCAATCATATGATTGGATTCCATTCTTCAAATAATAGTTTACAGAGGAACTCCATGTAAAAGGATAGTTATGCTGGTTAGTATTTGGTTAGTCAGGAGTCCCACCCCACTAATCCCTCCTGGAGTGGCATGTTCGTCTGACATGGCTGTCAAGGGAACTGCAGATACCTGCAGACAGAGCAGGAGCTTTTCCTGAATGAGCTGAACTTTTAAAGGGAAAATATTTTTTCTTTCCTTTTTAAACATTTATTTGCTATTATTTTATATCTATGGGCATTTGCTTGTAGGTGTGTTTGTGCATCTTGTACATTGCAATCTGTGGAGGCCTGAAGAGAGTGTTGGATTCCCTGGAACTGGAGTTACAAAGGGTTGTGAGCTGCCATGTGGGTACTGGGAACTGAACCTGGGGCCTCTGCAAGAAAAGCCAGTGCTCTTAATCTTTGTGGCATCTCTTCAGCCCCAGGAAATACAACTGCAATAGAACTGATTATGAATAATTTTATCTCACATAATGATACACAGTTATTAATAGGTACTTTTGGTTGGCTCTACGCATGGTGTTAAATAAAGCCAGTTAAGTCAATATCCTTTAGATTTTGTTATGGTTATGTGCCATTATTTGATATAGATTATACTTCAAGTAATCAAATAGAATTGTACTTTGGTATTTGCTTGACTGAAAGAGCATGTTAAAGTTTCAGTCCTCTGTGGTGCATGTTGGTTTAGGGTGATGCCACTTTGGGTGTAATCTGGAATCAGCTATAGCTCTTTTGAAGCTGAACTATAATGTTGACGCTTTAGGGCCTGTGAGCAGAAATCATTAACTTTTTCAGCTCCTCTACTTAAATGAAAATTGGGCTGATGTTGACAACTACCATTTTAATTTTTTTTAAAGAAAGGTATTTAACAAATTCTTTTAAATGTCTCCAGGTACCAACCTTACTTACCTCTTCCTACATTTTCATAAAGTACAGGGATATAACCTGAAGTGTTTTTGTTATTGTCAAGGAAACCCTCAGCTCTCTATATAGGGATCACATTCTTCTTTTTTAGTATCTTTCTATCATTTATTTGCACACTGAATAAAATCAATATGTAAAGGTCAAGACAGTGTTCAGAGCTTTTTGCAGGAAGGGGCAAGCTAAGGAGAGAGATCCACACAGAAAGAAGACCAGTAGGAAAAAAAGAGAAGGGAATAAATGATCTGAGGTTTCATTTTAAAGAGGCAAAGCTGAACATTTTAAGTTTTGTCAATTTTTGTCATTTTAGAAAATGTATGAATTACGTCTCAGTGAGGTCAGTTTACTACACACAAATATAGCTGCTTATG